TCCCTCTTCGGCCCGGTGGTACTCCTCAATGTCATGGGCGATTGCCCTGTGATTCTTCACTTGTTGGTAGAATAGAGTTTCCAGGACAGTAGTTTCAGGCAAATGGGTAACACCGGTGGTAACAGAATCCCAATTCGATAAAAAGGTTTTGAGATTGTCGCCCTTCATTTTCACGTTGAACAGATCACTGAGAGAGTAGGTGGCACCATGTTTGATGTTTGCGCTGAAATACTCATGCATCATCAGCAACACCTGTCTCCCCCGTACCGGACGATCTTTCTGGGATTCTTTCTCCTTGAATGTGTCCACCTTGCGAGCGAACTCACCTGTGGCGACGGACGACAGTGCGGCAAGAAGCTTGGCATCGAGGGTAGTAAACCCGTCAGGACTTGCAAGACCTTCAATGGTTTGACCTTCAATCCACACCTTGTTGATCCACGAGAATGCTTTGTCGGGCTTGGAAGACGCGGCCCTCACCGCATCCCTCACCCTGATTTTCCAATTGCGATAGTTCTCGGGCTGGTCAGCTTCCTTCGTGGTATTGCTTTTTCCCCCCAAAACTTGTTTGAGCTTCCTCATAAGAGCCTTGTCTGTCAATTCATCGTCATCATCGTCAAAATCATCTCCTCCGTCTGGATCGCTGTCATCCCCCGGAGGTCCAGGTGGTCCACCCCCCGACTTAGGAATCTTGAGAAGCGGAATGCCTGGACGCCCAGGATCAATGGGGTCACCTGATACGACCTCCACCAGGATTGTCTCCTCCCCCTCCCGGCGGTCCACCACCACCATTACCCGGCCCGCCCCTACCGAAGTTGCCCGACAATGCGTGTGCTGCTAATGACCCGTACCCATCATTCCAAGGACTCACCGGTTGGAAAACTGTAGTGTTAGGGGAAAATACGCTTCCGGGTTGAGACTTTAAGGATGGAGTACCGAACAGCTCAGCAGTTCTAAAAGATCTGACATCATCGTGCTGGGACAAACCTGCAGGTGGTGCTTCATGCATTGGTATGGACTCACGAGGTTCGGCAGCTCCTTCCGGGAATGCCCGGCGCATCATCCTTCCGTTGCTTCATTTCACGAAGTTCCTTCAGGAGTTGTGCCTGGACGGATTCCGTCTCAGTTAGCCGCCTTTGCAAATCCATGGCCGTTTGTTGTTGCTGTGCCAAGTTCATCTCAAGGGACGAGACTTTCTGACTCTGCCTCATTTCAATATGTTGACGGTGGTTCATGGACATTTCCATGAACTGATTCTGAGCCTGCTCCTGCAGTGATTGATATCCAGTTTCGGCTGCGGTGATGAACAACTTCGCCTGGACCCTCATCTCCTCATTCTCAGAGAACGCTTCATCAGCTTCGTTTCGGAGCCTCTGTGCTGCGAGCATGACTTCTGCTCGTTGCCCCTCAAGTTGCTGATTTTGCGAGGCCTGGCGCATCATCTCCGCCAGTATAGCTGGAGGTGTGCTCACAAAGGAAAAATTGGCCTGATTGAACACCGGCGCGGTGTTCCCACCCGCTCCCCCTCCGTCAGTTGACATGTTGGATCCTCCGTCTGGTGTAGACGAGACGCCCGGATCCATCAACGGTAGATGGAAAGCGGCGGGGTTTCCACCCGCGCTCTCACGCCCATCCGCACCATTGTACGGCGCAGCCAGCCTCGCGAGGGCCGCTGGATCCAGAGATAAGTCCATGGCTGCGAATGACGTGGGAGCAATACTACGGGCCTAAGGCTATACGGCTGATAACCTATGTTTACAGGAAATCAGCCAATAGCGCACAGCTTTTCCTTGAGCCAAAGGTAAGGGTCATGAGGTATATTTACAGTGATGAACAATGCTTACTTAGAAAATACAAAAACCATTGCCATGGCTTGTGATCGAGGAGCGTGTGTCTTTCGGCGGTTTATAGATGATCAGTTTGAATGAACTCGGAAATTTCTGTTTGGTTTGGTGGTTTCGTCTATGCGTCTTTCATGAGCTTCCACCACACTCTTCTTTTTCAGAGTGTTGACGATATAGGGTAAAGTATGCATTCTTTGACATCTTCATCCAGCCATGGCGACTCGTGGGAAGTGGACCAACAAATATTTATGTAGTTCTATACATGCAAGATAGATAACCAGCGAAGACGTACGCATGCATGTCTACATATGCAAGATGTACAGCCTGCATGTGCATGTTTAACAAACGCAAGACAATCACGAACATATACGTGCAAGTTGCACAGCAAAAAACCTATGTGTAGTCTGCATGTGTACCTCTATATATGCAAAAGTGTAGGTGTGAGTATGTCACACAAGTACAAGGCACATATAGAAGTAACAATGTAGAACCTACTGTACTAGGTCTTAATGCCACACATGTACCAAGGAGATGTATATGGAAATTGCAGGTGTAGGTAGCAATGTGAGTATGTCACTCATATACCAAGCAGATCTAGAGGTTGCGGATGTAGACAAAAATGTGTAGAAATAGTAGGTCCTCAGATAGGACGTTTTTTCAACTAAAGAAGGAAACGGATAGAAAAGGAAAAAGACAAGGAAAAGGTTAAGAGGAAGTGGTTGGTTGACGCCTTTGAGGCCAGGGCCCGAGGAGAAATGTTCGTTTCTGCAACGATGGGCAAAATTGTGTCAGGATTCGACAAGGTTTTGGAAAGTTGAGCAAAGGTGTGTTGCAGCATGGGTCGACAGTCGACTATTTTGTAAGAACCGAAGTCTGCAGCTTTTGGCTCGCAAATTTGAAAGTGCTTTGCCCAGGTGGGGCTTTGCACATTTATTTGAGTTTCTTGTGGACACATGAATAAGTTATATAAGTGTATTTTGAGTTGACTTGTTTACACTTTGTTTTTGTCGAACTTTGTCAGGTGCCCTTCAACGAACATGTCCTGGTCTTCCATGGAGGCATCCGTACAACTGCTTTTTGCATGTGTCCAAAGAGCTTGTTGCGACGTTAGTCCTTTGACAGGAGGCATTGCGGGCCTTCAAACGGGGCGATTTTGTGTTGGTGATGGATAGCGACGATCGTGAGGACACTGGCCCTGACAGTATGCTTAAGTTGAAATGAAGCGTGCTCAACTGCATTCAGATACTGTACACTGTAGACCAGCTAACAACATTCTCCCATCTCCTTCCACATCTGGTCTGCTCGTACAGGCTTTGCTAGCTATCACAGAATTATATTCAGATGAATGTGACAACTTGTGACAACAACACCTGCAAAAGCAAACGACTTCATGTCAAATGCTCCACTGCAAGTCAGCGTAAGGATGAATGCGATCTGATTTTGCCGGCGCAGTCTGTTACTGCCACACACTCAAAGCACCTCAAGCAACTCAAGCATATTGACATAGGATGAAATAGGCCGTTGTTTTGATGCTCTCTTTGTACAGTTTCACATATTGAGGCCACACAGATGGCATTCGCCATTAGACACACCACTGGAATTGTCTGCATTGTTGCAGATAAAGCTGCGCACTAAGGGCTTTATTCGGGGTTCCAAACAGCCATTCAGCCTTGATTCATTTTTTCTGATTCAACGAGCACCTGTTTGCAGTTCTTGTCAGTCTGATGCAATTCCAAAGGAGAGGTTAGAGCATTTTGGCCTGCATCCTGCGGGAGCCCTAACGCGTCGCTGCTGCATTGGAAGCACAGGGGCAGATTGAGATGGTTGCATGCAATGCCAAAAGTCGGGTATAGACTCAGCCACAAAACACCAGCTGCAAGCTCCTGTATATTTTTTGAAGTGTTCGCGGTGCTAGAATGAATGAAGCAGCTCTTTTTGGGTCCAGTGAGCCACTGTACAGCCATGGCAATGAACTTGTTGCCACGCTGCGCCTCTGTCCACCACCAGTCTGGAGCATGCCGCAGTCCATTTCTCACACCTTCAGAGGGGCTTGCGACTCTCAACCCGCCAGCTTGGCATCAATGCCATGCGAAGAGTGGAATAGGAAATGGATTCTTGGGGAGACCTGTCAATATCATTGCCCCCATGATTTGCATTTCGAGAGCCTTAAGATTAAAAGTGAGAGCGCAGAGAACTGAATACTCTGCAACATTTGAAGATCTTAAGATCCAATGTACAGGAGACGTCGTGCGGAGTTATTTGCACACCACTGCGCTCTCGGCAGAATTACTTCGTGGTCCGGGTGGAAGATCCAAATTTGTATCACAGGAGGCCTGCAAAGCACTAGTGGAGGCTGAGAGTGTTTGCAAGGGCTTTCTTCCACAAGTTCTCCGTGGATCTGCCTTAGTCTCGAAAATCCTTGACCTTCTTGTTGAATCTTTCAGAGATGCAGCTTCTGGCAGCAACTCCTTCAGGGCACTGGAGACGCCCCTTCTCACCTTTCACAACAAAGCACCGCTGAATATGCGAAAGGCTCTTCAAGGGAGGATTGTTAGCGCTGCTGTTTCTTGCCTGAGTTCAAAGCGGGCTGTGGCAGGAATGTGTTGACATATGACTCATATGACATAATATATATATAGTTTCTTGTGCTTTTTTGGAAACGTATATATAGCCCATATATACTCCGCTTGTACAGTCTTGACTAAGGACTTCACTTGTTTTGGCTCAAGACGCTCCGCAGCGTCGATATCGTGTTTTGATGGTAGCGCGAAGGCTCGGTGAGAGTGAAAGGGACCACGCATTGAGAACACAAGAGGAACGGCGTAGCAAAGCCGAAACATCCTCAGAGGAGGAGTGGCTTGAAGAAGAGCCGGCACCGGAAGCGGCCGGTCCGGCCGCGCTGTTGACCGAGCCAGAAGAAAAGAAGAAGAGGAGGAGGAAAAGGAAGAAAAGAAAGAGGAAGAACAAGAACCTTTGCCTGACCAATTGCCTGAAGCCGAGGACACCGCAGAAAAGCTCGAAGAAGCAGAGCAAGAGTTTGAAAAGGAAAAGGAAGAGAAAGAGGGAGAAGGAGGCTTGGAAGGATACACCCCTTCTCAACCCGGTGATCCTGATCAAGCGGCCGGACGGGCAGCAAGAAGAGGAGCTGCCATCCGTGCTGTGGGACGAACATACAGACCCAGACGCAACACGCCGTCCAGCAAATTGCACGGCAAGGCAGACAAGGCAATTGCAACAGCTCCGTGGCGTACAGCGGCAAAGCGAAAGAAGATTCAAAAGTTGGATCGACAAGGGCAGATGCCAGAAAGGTCCGGATTCAGATTGAGAAGCCGCGGGTCACGACATTACCGCAGTTTGAAAGATCACATCAGGCTCCAAAGCAAGAAAGGAGGAGTCTCACGAGTCACACAGGAGCTCAAGGATAAGGTAAAGGAGTTCGGCCGACAGCAGCCGCAGAGTGAGATCAAGGAGGGGCGTGAAGAGCAAAAGGAGTGGCACAAAGTAGGAAGAGCCGCCAAAAGGGATCGTGAAGCCAGTTTGGATCTTCCTCTAATGAACTTACCGTCAAGAAAGACGATCGTGAAGGTTCATTGCAAGCGCCAGTCTCTCTTTCTGAGTCTCCTGCGTTTGCGCGTTTTCGCTTCTGTTTTTGTTTTTGGAAGAGTAGAGTCCTTTTGATGCGCGTCCATTAGACCTGAATAGTTTTGTATCCTTTTAGCGGCCGAGGCCGCCGCAACCAGGAAGAACTTTACTCGAGCCTGCTGCTCCTTGCATTTTGCAAGCTCTTGTAATTGCATGCAATAAGTGCGATTGCGGATTTTAATCTCTCGAGTTTCTGTGAACGTGGTCATTTTGTTCTGTTATAGCAGTTATAGGTCTTTGTATGAGAGCCGCTAGGCGAAGGGGATAATCTCCTGTTTTTGAGCTCATTCATTTCTACTTTCGAAGTCTTGTGTCAAGGCACTAAAGAGAGCCGAACCATGGTATCTTTGCCAGCTGAATGTCACTGAATGTGTAGTTCTCCGTTCTTATAATTAGGAAGTGAGTCAGCTATTGCTCCTCCTACCACACTTTGAAGCCTTGAGATTTCCTTGTCTATAGTATGTAACATACTGGACTTGATAAGACGCTGCGTTATGCGTAGACTTTTGCTGGACTTTGGCTTTGCCTTGAAAGGAAAAAGGTAGCGTCGCAGTACTCTGTGCTGGAAGTGAAAACGTGAATTGTGCCTGCTGTTGTGTAAGGCTCAAGGGATCGCTCCAAGAGTAATAAAGACATTAGCTGCCTGCGGTGGCCCAAGCTCTTCATTCAACCTTGAGCAGTCCATGGTAGGGTGCAGGCCCCCCCTGCCAGAGGTTGCGCCCAGCCACGTATACCTTATACAAGCAATAATGCGTGGTCGACGCTCGCCAGTTTTTGCTTTGGGCGTAGCGCAAGCCTGAGGTGATGATTTTGAGATACTCCTGCCAATTTCCTCTATAAAATGGGGGAGGTCGACCACCCAATTTTGAAGTCATTTTATAGAGTAGCTTCTCTATAGAATTAAAGCCTCCATTATCAGTACCATTGGCATGATATCAGAGAATGATCTTTTTTGGATGTTAGAACTTAACCTTGATACATTAAGATTTTGAGTCTATATATAGATAGTGTGTTCGATTTTATAGAGGATATTTTGCTTGTTCACTGAATTGAATTCTATAGAGTCTTCAGTCTGTCTTAGTCGCATCGGTTGCATTGATTCTATAGAGGGTGTTGCTTTTGTAGAGGCTAGTGATTCTCATTGTATAGAACGTCATGGGAATAATGAATTTGTTCATGTATGTTTTATATAGCGACAAATTGACACTTTGCGTTTTTTAAAGTAAATTCGACCTCTTATCCTACCCAGATGCCGGTGATTCATTTTATATAGGCTCATCTTGGGCACCTGTGGTATTTCTGATGTTAAGGGGCCGCACTCGATTTTCTAGAGGTTTATTCCTGCCAGCCATACCTTTGGTTTTGATTCTATAGAGTTTTGTGGGTACCCCAGGGTTGGGTGTCCCAATTTTATCACTATAGAATGGGGAGCACGACCCTCACCAAGTGTCAAGTGTTATCGTTCCCAGCGTATACTACGTCCACACAGAATTTGGACCTTACAGTTTTTGACCAAGCACAAAGTGCAATTCTCAGTTGCTGGGGGTTCGCGTGGAGTTACTGATTGTTTCACCGGCTCTTCGGTCACATTTCTTCAGGGGAAGTTGCTCAGCTCACCGCCGGAAACTTATCCACTTGGTATTTCGCTAACGGCTTTGGCTGCGGCAGTGCGAGGGCCAGGCGGGTGCGCGCAGGAAGGCTTCCCCAATGTGTGGGTGGGATACTTTAAGTTGTGTTTGTATTTGTGCCACGTTGGCGTTTGGAAACTGAACATGTTGGTAGCAAAACCCATCATTTGTGGTCCCCTTACGCACCACCTTCGTCAGAGGTGCAAAAACGTAGCGGTTTGTGATATTCAATGGAGCCGAACCCAAAAGGTGCAGAGCCGACACCGCCGCCTGACAGCTGTACAATGACAAAAACGTGCCACGTGTGCAAGGCAAGGGTGTTGCGCACAGCGACCTTTTCTAGCGCATAAATGTTTCACGTAATGATGCAAGATCATTTAGCTATTTTTGGAGTGGTTCCTGAAACGACCCACAAAACGTGGTGAAGGGATTGTTTTTGATGCAGCTATATAGTATCTTAGTTTTGTCCTGTGTTTTGTTTTATACATCCTATGGATCCATTTTTGGCCTTCCCGCGCACAAACCAACGAATTCCATGTTTGGATACATTGTCCTATGCCTGCGACATTTGGATAGACGACGCTGCTTTTGTATTCCCGATCATGCAAGGACCACCAACTGACTGTCACATTTAGCTTTTGGTATTTTTGGATTGCGGAGGTTTGCTTGTTGCTTTGCTTCGGTCATGCGGCCTCAGGGGATGTGTCGAGATGGAAGCCGCCTGAAGTGCTCCAGATCCAATCAGAGAGCCGATGGAAAATGCCTGCAGACGTTCGCTCACAGGTGTTGGAACGTGACGGGGAGAGATGTTGGTACTGTGGCGAAAAACACACCGATGGAACAAACACTTTAACAGTGGATCATTGGATCCCTCTTTGCAGAGGCGGTACAAATGCGATGGTAAACCTTGTTTGTGCTTGCAGTAGCTGCAACGAGTTGAAGGGCAACTATATGCCCGATGATTTTGCAGCCGCAACGGGTTCATTTTGAAGGGGAACGTGAACAAGCTCCGCGAGATGTTCTTGCAAAGCAGGAATGCTTGCAGCTGCCAGCACTGATTGCAGACTGCTGGATTGCAGACCGTGTGATGCAGCAAAAGACATTGAGTGCAACACTTTCCTGCGCAATCTCAGGTCGGTCAACTTGTAACGATGTAGTTTGAATACAAGATAATCACTTTGGATTTTATTTGTCTTTCATCATGATTGAGGCGACGGCAACCAATACGGATGCAAATGCCACAAACTTCTATGTCTCCACGGTGTTGAACTTGGGCCATACGCAGCAAGTTCATATGCAGCAAGTTGGTACATGCTCTTTGCAGTTTGCGCGGCGCAAACTTTCAGGATTTCCTTCCAGAAACTTCGACGGGAGTATCAGCTGCAGATCGTGCGACCACAGCAAGGGTCACTTTGGCAAAATCCCAAACATTCCCAAACGACCAGAAAGTTTTTGCATAGCGAGACTCCAAGCTGTTCAAAAGCGAAACACCTCAGGCCTTGTGCAACCTCAAAAATCGAAGCCAGGCTCGACAAGATCTTGCTCGCGTAAAGGATGTGGATGACTTGAGCTTAGCAGGATTTCTCCAAGCCGGGCCATCTCTTCCCCTTATGTGCACGACCTGGTGGAGTCCTTGAACGCCCAGGCATCATCCATACGCCATACGGCGACACGCTACAATTCTCACGCCTTTCACTTTTTAAACATTTGCTACGGTCCACTTTTGCGGCATTCACAAGTGTTCGCTTTTGGGGATTAGGGTGCGACAGGATGCCACATCTTCTTGGACTTAGGTTTCCAGGTTTGCGTGGTCATCATAGTCAGTCTTGGTTAAGCGTCGCGTTATTTGCGTCTTTCGGAGGTGGATCGAATCCCAAATACAATGCAACACAACCACAATGAATTCACCCTGAAAGGATACCTGGAGCCCTGCTCCTCAAGCGCCCTGCGCACTCCACCGCAGCCTCTTTCCACACCAAGCCATCCAAGCTCTGCGAAGGGAGATCTCCTGATCTCTGTGCCACCGAATGGCTCAAGGCGACACCGCCCTCCCGCCCTTGCTCTGGGAGTGGCAGCGATGAACACGGAACATGTGACGTGCCATCGAAACGCCAATTTGACATTCCCCAAACTTGTAATTTGTTGAACATGTTCCGAGTTCAAGGGGTGGTCGAACAAAAAGACATACTCCACGGAGTATGTAGGGCATAGCACTGTTGGTTTGTCTATGCAACCGGAAACAAAAACAGGAATGCGTTGAATGCATTCTCTTCCCTTTCCCCTTTGCACTTGGTGTTCACCTCGAGCTTGGTAGAAGTGTTCTCTATCCAAGTTTTCCCCAAAACACATTCACGGCATGCGGCAGGACGGTCAAGCAGCGTCCGAAGGTCTGACGAAGAACGTCTTGGCTTTTCCTTTCGTCATCCTCTTGCGTTCTCCGAGACTTGGTGGCTTCGAATCCATTTCAACCTTGCCTTTCTGTCAGATCGGTTGCAATGGAGCTCATCTTCGTCTTGGAGTTGACGCCTTCCTACCTGCAACACTTCCCTCAAGGTGGAATTATTCATAATCTTGGTAGGGCAATCTGCGACTTGGGCACTGGAGGGAACCCATCTGATGGTGACCCCTGTGGCGAGATGTTCTTTGATCAATCGTGCTTGCAACAAAGTTCTGAATTCTTGACAAGCGGGTGGAGTTGTCCTACTCACTAAGTCAAGCGGGCTTTTGCAGTCTGTTGCTACCATGGAATCGTCCTTGCCAGTGGCTTGAAGTTTGAAAATGTTCTCACTCAACGTTGAGTTGTGGGATCTTCGAGACATGACTCGTCCTTGAAGGCCGAGAAGGCAGGTGGCAAGTGATTCAAAGTCTGGCCTCCAAGACTCCAAGGCGCCGATTGCAGCTTTGGTCAAGTATCAGCCCCAATACAGTCTACGCCAGGCTAAATAGTCCATAGTGCCCGCTAGGGCCATCGCTTCCGCCGAGAGCGTGCTCATGACTGCGACCTTTTGGGTTTTCTTAGATGACCAAGCCACTGGGTTGACTACACTTTTTCGGTTTTGGCTTATGTCTTTGTGAGCGGTCATGATCATCACCATGATGGGAAGACGGGTTCTTTTCTGAGGCAAAGGATGCGTTTGAGAAGGCCACAAATCGAACATCTGCTTTGGGGATATATGGGAAACGACACTTTACACCCGAGTGTACTTTTGCATCGTGCAGCATTTGTTGCCTTCCATTTCGTCTTGGATCTGTCCGTTGTTGATTTTGCTTTGTAAGAAACTGAGTCGGCTTCCAAGATCAAGTCGGGTGTTCACGGATGCATATTGGAGGCTTCCTATCAGTCCTCGGAGAGATTGTCGTTCTTGATCGTTGGTTGCACGGTTCCTCCAAATGTTTTCTTCTTTGTTAATACTGATTGGGTTGATGTCCTTCACATATTGTGTCTGATCCACCGGGATGGAAAAGTCTTCGTGTTGATGAATCTGGAGGCCAGTAAATACAAAGTTTTGGTTCTTTCGACAGCCCAACAGAAACTTTTGTTCGAGGAGATTTATCTTCTTGTCAAATTCTGCGTTATTACCGGCAGACAAACCATCATCGACGTGAACTCATGAAACCTTGAGCTTGATTGCTTTCGTCGCCCAACATGAAGCAGCAAGGATCGAACGGTGATTCCGTAAAATCAAGTTCTTTCAATGCCTTGGTGAGCTCCCTGAACCACAACAATGGAGCGTTGAGATGGTTTAAGTCACATCTTGGTCCTTGACTCTTCCGGCGGCTCCAGGCCTAACAATCGAGAGTCAGCTCGTCCGCGGAGAAATGCTGTCTTAATATCGAAGCTGCCGATTTGCCAACGGCTCGAAACGCACACTTGTAAAAGGAGGTTCCTTGACAGTTTCGACAACGTTGGACTGTCCCTTTCGAGGTCACTGAGGGCAGGATCTTGATAGCCCAATATGGTTCGGTGATTCCCGGGATTCGTGAGTGTGTGTTCAGTTCTGCATCTTTCCAAGACAGAATTCTAAGATGCTGCTTTCGGGTAGCTGATGGCGAAATATTCTACACACCGGTTGGTGTCAAGCCAGCTCTGCAGTTCTTTCTCCTTTGCTTCCATGGGTCCATGATCATTTTCTTTTCCTGTTCGGTCAATTGAGACATTTTGACCTCTGTCTTCTGTTTCTTTGCTGCGGACACCAAGAAAAAGGCTTCAGGCCGAGGATCATTTCTCCACATATCGCTATCCTTTGAAGTGGTCCACTTCAAATCTCCAGGCTTGTTCTTCCGAAAGACGGCGTGCGTCGCAAAACCAATCGTCGTCTTCATCTAGCGGGACTGGGATGCCTTCAGGCTGAATTGGAAAGGGATTTGCTTGGGTGTTCTGAGATGTCTGCTGGTTCCCTGTCCTGAGTTTTCGGGTCGGCTGAAGGGCAATGGAACCGGCGGCAAGTCGACGTATCGTGTATTACCAGACCTAAGATTTTCGAGGTCTTGCTCAAGACTGGTGTTGGATTTTGTGAGCACGTCGAATTTCCTCCACTGCGGAGAGAGGTCTGGCATGCACAGGCGCCGCCCGAAACAGTTTGTTTCCCAAGACTGCCCAAACAAAGTTCTTGCACTTTTCTTCTCGCCGTGCCACGATCCAATCTCGCGGGTGGAAGATAGTCCTCTGGGGTCTCGACCGTTGGCGAACTGCCCGGCGCAGCGACTGCGTGTGATCGACTTCACAGAATGCTTTGCGAGCGGCTTCTCGAATTGCAAGGCGAAACTGCACTCCCTCTGAGGGGTCACGCAGAGCGCTTTCGTTGGAAGCTTCTGACCCTTCACTGCTAACACTAGCAGTTCTTGTGGATAACCTTGATGACGTCTTGGTTTGAGTAGCGAATGATAAAGCTGTTTCCAGGTCATTGAGGGTCTGAACTGGTTTGTCCTGGTCCATTTTGTTGAGTATGGCTTGGAGCCGTTCAGCCCGCGAATTTTGCCAATGTGCTTCTGGAGCAATCGTGCGAAGTTTGAATGTCGTGTTCTTGCAAGAATTGATGGAATGCTTCAGTTCCGATCTCGGCGCAGAATCTGCAATCAAAGTCACCGGAGGTCCGGCCCAGTTGATCCAAACTTGAACCACCCTTAATGGCATCTTGAGTGGCGTGGCTGTTTGCAATCGCGGCAGTGTGGAACGTTGTTCCATGATCAACAAACTGGTGGAAAAAGAAACGGTTTCTTTCTTTGTTAGTCCATTTGATACCATCCATGCCCACTACATCTCCAAAGTCTGATGGTGGATGTATAGCACTTGGTTTGGCAATCTCTGGTCCCTTTGAATCAGCGCGCGTGGAACAACGGAGGTCGTCCAGGGCTTCTACAATTTGCTCTGGCGTCCTAGTTGTTGGCAAAATGCTTTGAGTTTGGCTACTCCAGGATGTCCCATGTTGCGATGGATCTTTAGTACCCAGGATCTTTCTTCAGGAGTTAGGGTTAGCGTCTTAGGGCCATGCTGATCCGCAACCAGGTCAGTGTCATCTTGGGAGAGTTGAGAGATTGGCCCGGTGCTTCAACCGCTTGCTGGGTCCGGTCGGCAGGACGATCTTCCGAAGCAGCAATTTTGCGGACTTTGACTAATGGTGTTTCTTCTAGTCTCTCACTGTGTCGTTTCAATGGTGCGGACTCGGAACTCTTGGCAGAATCGGACGGTTTTGTCCGAGCGAAGATTGTCATACCGTAGCGGGATGGCGTGCAAGGACGTCTCAGCTTGCGAGCTGGCAGCTTCTCCCATGGCGCCCAGCGGTCTTCAACAACAACATCTTCAAAACGTCGTCTGATCCCTACGAATCCGCGCAGCAGAGCATCTGGGCCTAGTCTACCATGCGTTCCATGCCACGACAGAGGACTATGTGGTGTACTATTTGATGAGGACATTTCTATTGGAAAGTTGCCCTTCCTGTGAGGTTTTGATTCCTACTCTGGGAGCTTCTTCATTGGCCACTAGCATGATGTCATCCCAAGAGGCGTCCGGCGCCAGGAGACGAATGAGAGCCGTACTGCTTTTCTGTTCTAAACGGGCGCTTGGTGGGGTGTTCATCCTCAACGGCCAAAACTGCGAA